CTTTAAGACGAACGATGGTCTGCGACCTGTTGACATTACATTCGTAAACACTACTGCACACCGCTCTGCTAACAGTGCTGTGCAAGACAAGAAAGCTGGTGTGAAAATTCTTAGCTGTTTACTACGATGGCGTAAACAGCATCGAGGAATTGCTTATTCTCCCCCGAGCTTGCAGTAAGAAACAACGCAGTAACTCGCACGCTGATTAAAGATGATCGAAGAAAAATGCCGGGAATTTAGAATCGAATTTAACCGCATTGGCGAGTTAGAGTTGTCACAAATTTCGATCGTGAGGGAAATGAGGAAACGACGAAGGAAATGAGGGTGTTATTGACAGTAGAAGAAATGCAACTTCAAAATATTACAGGTCACTCTCACCTTGTTCAGATGTCCGAGATTGTCGCTACCGCCGCTGCCCAGTAACATATCCAGGCGGAACGACGTCGCAGATCGGAAGCTCATCAGATAGCAAGCAGATGTCGGCGCCGCGTGTCACACGCACTGACAAAATTCTCCGGCGCGCGGCCGGCGCACTGTCATCAACCAATCAGACGCAGGAAGTACAGAGACAGTGACCAATCGATGATGAAACAACGGGGACCCAAGAGATGAATGACGTCATGGGCACGTCACTGACCGCACTAGAAACAGGATGCTGCTTGAAAATGAAATACACAATTTTTTACAAGTCGCCATTAGAATAACGCCTGACCACCTCAAGAAACTTAATAAACCAACTAAGCTTCCCATAAATCAGCCCTTCTGAATATTGCCAATTTATTTCTACAATCAAGTTAAGTTGAACTGCAGCAAAAGAGATCAGTAATAACAAATTCCTAATCGTTTCCTACTGACTGCCTGTATAATTATCAGTCAGTTGAAAAAATAACCGCGTGACTGTATCCTTGCTTAGCATGTTTGCAAATAGCATCTGATTGATCGTTCTTCGTAATTAACGATTCGGATCACTATTGCCAAGCCTCGAAACCCTTTTGTCTCACGCAACTTGTCGCCACAAATTTCCAAACACTTTTTAGGCTCATCGTCCCATCTGAACAGAGGTCTTTCAATTAGGCGCTTGCAGCGCAGGTCGTAACTGCTGAAGTCTATCCGTCATCCATCGGTCGTACAATGAATTCCGACAAGAGCTGCACGCAGTGGACACGGGGCCATGTTTGTTCGCATTTTCCATTTCATTCGATCTTGGCAAATGATTCTGGCTATTGTCCGCTCTTGCCAAACCGATTGGTCAGAAAGTCTGTTTGTGCTTCACCTCTGTGGAATTGAGTTCCATTTGACGGCTCTGGGAGGCTTACTCCGCTCAGTATTCATTAGTGGGTTTTGGCATAGCCGCCGCTTCTGTCGGTGTCTCCTCCACACCACGGAGCGCAACCTGGTCTCGTGGAGAGTTTGCAAATAACAAGAACGACATGTTAGATGCAGTGCAACATATGAATTCTACCTGACAGATAAATTTTATCCAGCGATTCAATGTCTTACACTCTTTCGTTTCATCGTTAGCGGTCAATTTTCTGTTAGTCATCCACCGACCAAAATATATGCGTAGTACTCAGGTTTTATGCACCGCAGTTTCAAACGTGGTAATACCTAGGGCCATTCTGCAAGTGGATAACTACAAATCGCATGGAAACCCTTTACTAGCTCTTTTCAAGGAAAGACCAGTGATCTGCTTTATCAGATTAGATCACTTCACGCCTCTGACATAAGATTGTCGAGAAATTGATCATCATCAATCGTTCCTCCAGCTTCCTCGTCAGAGATATGCATATTATCTAACAGTGATCACTCGATCTGAAGGGGAGGCTCGTAAATTACGGTATTTCAACCTGCCAAGTTTTGGAGCTCGTCGAGCCGCTCACGCCAAAAGGCAATTAAAGAAATGTCTTTCCTGGATCAGAACCATTTAATCCATAATACTTTGTACTTTAAGGATGAAAGTAGATACGTGCATATGAAAAATGAGCGAAAACTTGCTCCGAAATGCCACTCAACGCTTTCTTCGTCACTGCAGAGCAATTTACTTGCGCTTGTCTGGCCCATTCGTGTGTACATTTCCAAGTCTTTCGTACCATCGCTCGTGCACAAGAACCTCAGATACTTATTTACCTACTGTAGTCTGACCCCAATTACCTGCAGAGCACAGTGAATGACCTAAGAGAATAAAGAGAATAAAACAGGTGCAGATTTTGATTCTCTGATTTTCATTTCGGCCTCATTGCACGTACCAGTGAAGCAATCAAATGCTAACTGAAATCGTCGTGGTCTTGAAGAGCGTATGACGCTGTCATTCATAAACAGTAGATTATTTAATCGAACATTTTCAACTGTTCTCTGCCTAGATTGCGCCTACCGATTCAGTTTACAAAGATGGCGTAGGGTACATAAGGGTAGATAACACGCATACCCTTAACCAGACAAATGCATTTTGAAATGAATCATTTCTTGCCGTTATTACTGAGACTCAATCGTACGAGCACCTGATAGCCCTTAGCAGCTGATCGCCACGCCATGTTTCTGCAGCTTTGACAGGGGCACCGTTTTTAGGTCTACGAGGCAAACATTCGGTATAAAGTTACGATTCACAATGCTGTGGTTAAGAAGGAAATCACATGGCTCCTTTCGAATATTTTGTTCTATTTTTTCTGTAAATCCCTTTTGCAAGCAATCTGTATAAAATCTACCGGTTAGGCTAAACGGAGAAATGTCTCGGCAGTTGTTGCATCTCTACTACCCTTTTCCAACGCGGACATAGCCACTTCATACCGCTAAAAATTATGGTGCTTTTTCATAACTTATCTCAACCTGACATTAACCATTCCGTCAAAAGATATCATTGCTGCTCAAACTCTGTAACCTCTCAAATCGGATTTCATGTTTCTGCTAAATGTCGCTGAGAGACGGACTTTCTATCACCGACACTGGTAAATGATACAGAGGACTCCCGCGTTTCTGACGCACCCTGATATCGAAACTCGATCTCCTTATCTTTAACAATTGTATCCGCCAATAACATGACCTAAGCACGGTCTTCTGGATGGGAAAATGTCCTATGTCGACTACGGGCATATGACAGTGAGTGTCTGAAGTTACATCATTATTTCAAAGGTCGCATAAAACCTCAAGCCGTCAAAGTGAATACTTGGTAACAACAGAAATAATAATTTTAAGTCACCTAAACGAAAAGTTTTAGTAAAACTTTTATGAAAAACGAAACGAAGCAAGAAATTACTTATCACTACGAACGTCAAACAGAATATGGATGTACAACAAGAGACTTAGCACATGACAAAAACTCATCAAGGCAAAATTTATTCGCAAAAGTGACATTCTTTTCAAAAACAGTGAACATGAACAAATGATATCATAATTCATTATTCATCATATCAAACACAAGCGCTTAGTTATCAGCGTACAGAAAAAACCACTTCTGATGCAGTTGCGTTCGTATTCAGTCCTGCAACGGCAATGGTTTCAGAAATAAATCAAGCGCTGAAACAGTTAAGAAATGAACGAAAAGCAGGAAACTAAATGCTGTCAACTCTCAGGTGCTAACAACTCTAACTGTTCATCTTTGCCATAATCCAATGACGAAACCCTTCTAGACTTCCATGTCTCACGTAAAGGAAATCCGTACTGACAGAAGTGAAGTAGCGGGTAGTAGTCAGAACAATACGACAAAAGTACTGTAACAACGGAACTATACAAATATCAGAACCGTTGCCAAATAAAACAGCATCGAATACAGAATCTAAAACAGGGGTTCAAAATGAAGCTTTCAACAGCGAGTAAAGGAGCAACAGAAACAAACTACACATCTTCCACAAAAGACCATCAACAATCACAGTCAGAGGCACGATATGACTCAACGACAGTGTACCTACTAAAGAATTAGTCGGTTAACAGCCCTTAAAATTAAACAAATTAAAATTCCCATTAAACTACCACAAATGACAGAAATCAACAGTTTTTTTTATAGAAAAGAGCTCGCAGGAGGGTAAATTTACACAAAGACAAATATAATGTATAGCATAAACAAGTAGCATCCAAAAACAGCGAAAATTTGAATTATACGCATAAGAATGCATATGACTGAGAAAGGTCTGTAAAATTCCCCATCGTCTCACCAAATCTTTAAGTAGAGCATGTCATCTCTGTTAAAACAAAAGTCTATTTTCACGCCCTAGAGCAGAAGCAATTTACATTCGTAATAAGGGATAAGGGCTGCTCGTTTAAAGCA